ATATGCTGACTCTGTAAACCGCTTAGAGAGGGCTGAAAGCCCTATGAAGCGGCATATAAGTCGAACTGCTATTGCTAATTGCTATAAAAGAATTTAAAATACAGACAAGCGAAATTAAAAGAACACAACATGCACTCAATCTTAGTGGGGCTGGAGCTCAATCAAGGATCAGCAGCCCCAGGCCTGCCGGAACAGCCAGGTCTTAATAGACTTTCGGAAGGCTGAGAGAGTGGGGAGGGTCCGGATCTCAGGGGGGAGATCGTTCCATAGGGCTGGGGCAGCTACAGAGAAGGCTCTCCTCCGAGGAGCCGCCAGACGACATTATGTAGTCGAAGGCACCCAGAGAAGGCCCACCCTGTGAGATCTTATTTGGCGCTGGGAGGTATGTGGCAGGAGGCAGTAACGGAGATATCCAGGTCCTAGGCCATGTAGGGCTTTAAAGGTGATAACCAGCACCTTGAAGTGCGTTTGGAGACCAATAGGGAAGAGAGGACCTCAAGAGATTTAGATGCTATCTGAGAATTACACTTTCTTTCAGAGAATTCCCCCACCTTCCCCCCCAAAAAATTAAAGGGTCGTGAGATTGTGCTTTGATGGAAGAAGATGCCAAGCAGAAGCAGGAGGTTAACGGGGTTTACTTTGGCTAAATTGGTGTTCCGGTTTACCTATATTGTTAAGAACCCAAACCAAAAATTAGGCAAGATTGTCATCCTTTCTTCAAAGCCGCAGAAGGCAGGAAAAAGAAGCAACAGATGGAAATTTATAACAGAGAGGAGCAACCTAGAACTAAGGAGGAATTTCCTGACAGTTAAAACAATTAATCGGTTGCCTCCAGAAGTTGTCTGGTGCTCCATCACTGGAGGTATTGAAGAAGAGACTGGACAGCCATTTGTCCGAAATAGTGTAAGGTCTCCTGCTTGTGCAAGGGGTTGGACTAGAAGACCTCCAGGGTCCCTCCCAGCCCTTTTATTCTATGCTCTATGCTGATATTCAAACCATACTGTTTGTATAAAGAGCGGTATTAAATGGGTTGTTTAATTTCTTATTATAGTATCAGAAACGAAAGAAATATTTTTTTCGGGGGAAATGAATGTCTCTTTTATCTGGATGTTCACCCATTAAACGTTCGCCTTCCTGAGTGAAGAACAGAAGAGTCGAAGTGTGGCCCAGTTTATGTTCACAGTTAAAACCCAAACTGCATTTAATGAAGTGAAGGGCCATTTACTTCTGAGTGATGTCTCTAGGATCTTAGCGATAGATATGAAAATTGGGCTGAAAGCGATTCAGAAAAGCTGTGACAGTTCCTGCCCTTCCCACGTTGCTTTTTTAGTTTGTCGATTTCTTTCTTTCTTTTTCTTTTCTCTGTCTTTCTTTTACTCTGCCTTTCTTTCTTTCTTTCTCTTTCTTTCCTTCCTGTCTTCCTCTTGTCTTCCTTCCTTCGTTTGTTCATCAATTCCTCTCTTCCTTCTCTGCCTACCTGGTTTTCTTTTTTGCTTTTTCTCTCTCTCTCTCTTTCTTTCTTCCTTCCCCTTCCTTCCTTCCTTCCTTTCCTCTTGTCTTCCTTCCTTCGTTTGTTCATCAATTCCTTCCCCTCTTCCTTCTTTGCCTACCTGGTTTTCTCTGTCTCTTTCTTTCTTTTTCTCTTTCTTTCTTTCTTCCTTTCCTTTCCTTCCTTTCCTCTTATCTTCCTTCCTTCCTTCCTCTCTTCCTTCTCTGCCTACCTGGTTTTCTCTTTCTTTTTCCCTTCCTTCCTTCCTTTCTTTCTTCCTTTCCTTCCTTTCCTCTTGTCTTCCTTCCTTCCTTCCTTCCTTCCTTCCTTCCTCTCTTCCTTCTCTGCCTACCTGGTTTTCTCTTTCTTTTTCTCTTTCTTTCTTCCTTTCTTTCTTCCTTTCTTTGCTTCCTTCCTTTCCTCTTGTCTTCCTTCCTTCCTCTCTTCCTTCTCTGCCTACCAAACTATCCTGGCTAGCTTGTTCCCCTGGCGGGGCTGGGAGTCAAAAGGAAGAGACGCAGACTGCCCGCGGCTCTTCTGTTTCCACCAGCTCCCAATTAACCTTTCCCAGGTTAATTCACACTTCAAACTTTTTTTTTAAGGTTAAATAAATCAAGAATTTATAATCCCGAGACCCGTAGTCGGAAGAGGAGCATTTAAGCAGCTCCTAAAACTATATATATATATATATATTTAAAAAAAAACCTGACCTAGTCTAACTTCTCCCGAGATTCGGAGCGGCTCCGGATTCCGCGTCCTTCCAGTTTCTCGACAGCGCGGATTATGGACCCTTCCGGCTGGGCCTTATTGACAGCGAAGTCCCCCCAATTGGGAAAGAGTTCCTCAACCGCGGCTGCCGCGCGGAAAGCGAGATTTCCGATCCACCCACGAAAGGGCTTTCCCACGGAGGTTGGAAGCGCTACCTTCCCCCTTACTCTAACCCGCCTCAGGCCCAGGTTCTCTTCTGTGGGTGGGAGGGAAGCCCGAGACCCCCTTCCCTCTTGCTCTGCACCGCCATTTGGCCTTGCTCGGTCGGGGTTAAACTTTTGATCTATATCGGAGGATCACCGCCATCGGTGGAGCTCCCTTAAAACCGAATGAAGGAAGCGGCTTGTTTGAGATTGACAAGGGCAACCTACAAGATCCAGTCTAAATATTTCGGCCAGTCCAACTTCTATAAGCCTAACCTAAAGCTCCGACATTCCGCTGATCCCGCATCCCATCACCGAGATCCCTTCCCTGCACACAGGATCTAGTCTGCAACGCCTCAAATCTGCAGTTTCCCAAGACTGGGGAATAGGCGTTTGGGCCGGCCAGGAAACTGTAAAAATTCACACAAGAAAAATGCACTTTGGTTTCAAAGGAGAAATAAACAGCAACGGGTTTATTATTCTTATTTGTCCAAGGGATGGAATACAACAATTGGAAGACCACATAAAATCAAAGCGATGTCTTTGGAAAGACTCAAAGGAAGAAAACAAACAAAAAAAAAAGGACTCTATTTTACAAGAAAAATAAAATAAATCTCACCTCTGCTCGCTCTTTCCCCACTTAAAAAAAAAAAGAAAAACATTTGGTTTTCCCACCCCACCACTTCTCTTATTCCACTTTTGGGAGGCAGGAAATATTCAACAAGGAAGGGGGAAATAAATTATTCATATATATATAAAAAAAGACTAACTTTAAAAAGGAGGTTTTTTTTCTTTAAAATGAAAGTTTGTACATAAAACTAAAGGAATAAGAGGAAAAGTATAATTCATTTGGCAGCGGGGAGGGGGGAGAAAGGGGGCTGAGAGAGGAATAATCCAGTGACCTCAACTTTAAATATTATATTAACGGCCCTCCACGGAAGCCTAATTCAAAATCCACACACATATTTACAACGCGATAAATGGAATAATCCCCTCATTAAAACAAAACCAACCAAACAAGACATTATACATTTATATTTATGTAGCGTGTCCATTATTATTCTCCTCTTTTCAAAATTGTATAAGCCGTCCTTCTGGAATCAGCGATTTTATACTGCCCACCATCGCCAACATATTTAATATCCGTTTTTGACTCATCTTTTATTATTATTAATAATAATAATAATATTTATGTTCAAGAAAGCCCACACCCCATATCACTTTCTTCTTTTTTCGTTTCTAGTGTTGGCTGTTTTACTCCCCACCCCTCAACAGAAATAACTGGACTGGAAAATAAGTCGTTGCGGGGGAATCGAATTTTAGGGTCCTTTTTATTGACTTTGGACGGGAAAGTGGGGGAGGGGTGATTTTTGTTTTTTTTTGTTCTTTCTTTTTGCTTTGGGGGAAATAAAAACCAGAGACAGTTTGGTTGGCTTTCCCCAACTAATTTTAAAAAATAAAACCAGAGGCCTAATTTTCCTTCTATTGTCCGCCTGCTGAGTTTGGGGGGGCGAGGCCCCCTTTCCCGGGGTCCCTCTGTCCCTCTGTCTGTCTGTCTGTCTGTCTGCTTAACCCGGAGGCCAGTCAGTATTTAGCGCAGTCGTAAGAATAAGGGGCGGAGTGGCGGTAAATGGAGGGAGGAGCCCGGTAGGACAGCTCGCAGGTGGTGGGGCTCACCTGTTGCTCGTTCAGCGCCGTCGAGGTCTCTAATCCCAGCCGGTGAGTGTTGAACATTTCCCGCACGTTGGGGAAACTCTGTTGCTGGGCGCCGAAGGTGTGGCTGGGGAGAGGCTGGTTGATCTCCGATGCGTGGTTCAGGTACCAGGATGCTGCTGCGGCGGCGGCGGCGGCTGCAGCGGCCGCTTGGCCCGGGGCTTGGTGATGCGGCAGTGGATGATGGTGTTGGTGGTGGTGCGCGGGCTGATGGTGATGGTTGCTGGGAGGCAGGGACGTCTCCTGCTGCTGCTGCTGCCCCCCTTGCGCCAGGTTCAGGCCGGCCAGGGGCGAGGGGGCGCCGTTGGCCACTTGCGGCGGAGGCTCCGACATCGAGGCGGCGGCCTCTTCCAGCGACCCGGCGCCGCAGAGATGCGCGTTGCGCTCGCCCGTGTAGAGGCTCATGGCGCGCATGCTGCACTGGTAGCTGCCTCCGGCCTCGCCCAAGCCCCCCTGGCTGCAGGCCTGGCTGTAGATGGACGAGGCGGGCGCCTGGCCGTAGCCCAGGGGCAAAGAGGAGCCGCAAAGGCCCGTCGGCGTCCTGCCCACGGGGCTCAACTCGCCCCCCGGAGAAGTCCGCAGGGTCATGATGTTCTCCACGCTGAAGCCCGGCAAGCCGTTGGCGCCGGCGGCCGGGTGGTGGTGCGGGTGAGGTTGGTGGGCCTGGTGGGGCTCGCCGGGCAAAGAGCCCTCGGTGGAGAGCGACGGCGTGGAGGCCACGCTGCGCGGGCTGTCCTGCAAGGCGCTGCCGCTCTCCGGGCTGAGCGTCTCCACTTTGGTGATCACGGGCAGCTCGGGCGAAGAGGCCTCGCTCTTGATGACCACTTTCTTGTCCGACGAAGCCGGGACGGGCGCCGAGACCGACGGGGGCGACGGCTCCTTAGCCAGCTCGGAAGCGGCCTTGACCGGCTCCTTGTGGTGCTTCTCCCGCGGGCTCTCCTCCTTCTCCTTGGAGACGTCTTTCTTCTTGAAGCGCCTCCGGCGACGCAAGAACGAGCCGTTCTCGAACATGTTGTAGGAGTCGGGGTCCAGCGTCCAGTAGCTGCCCTTCCCCGGCTTCTTGTCGTCGCGGGGCACCTTGACGAAGCACTCGTTGAGCGAGAGGTTGTGGCGGATGGAATTCTGCCAGCCCTGCTTGTTCTCCCGGTAGAAGGGGAAGCGCTCCATGATGAACTGGTAGATGCCGTTGAGCGTGATCTTCTTCTCCGGCGCGTTCTGGATGGCCATGGTGATCAGCGCGATGTAGCTGTAAGGCGGCTTCACCAGGTCCTTCGGAGCCTGGACCGGCTGGTGGCCCGGGTAGGGCCCGTACGAGCGTCCCAAGCCGGCCGCGTATTGCTCCGGGTGGCCGGCGTAAACCCCCAGCGAGCCGGCCATGCCTCCATAGGTGCCCGCCGTCCGGTAGTAATTCTGCTCGCTCAGATAGGGTACCACTCCCAGAGCGTTGGGATCCGAGACGGAATAGCGGGCCTGCATGGCTGTCCCAGCTCCGGGAGGGCGAGGAGGCCTCCCGCTGCCCCCGCTCCGAGAGACAGGTCGTAGGGAAGGAGCCGGCAGGAAAGGCGGCCCCTCTGCCAACGGGGCGCCCTGCTCCGGAGACCCCCGAGCGCTTCCAGACTCCTCCGCCGAAGGCCCCCTCCTCGACTCTTGGTTAACAGGCCCGAGCTGATCCCGCTTGGTTCATCTTTATATCTTTGGCAAAACGCTCGGAAAGCTCCAATCTCAGCTCCTGGCCCGCTCGCTCTCCTCCTCCTCCTCCTCCTCCTCCCTCCCTCCCCCCCGTCGTAAAAGGGCAGGAGGAGGGCGAATGTGGCCTGGTTAAAACGATGGAGGGAAGGAGGGGGGGGTAGATAGAAACCCCGGCAGGTCCGAAATATCTAATCTGCTCGCGCTGCCCCCAAAGCCGGGAGGAGGGGAAAAAAATTCTCGCAGAACGAAATAAAATAGCAGTCCAAAGGACGAGGACAGAGGCAGCGCGCTGGCTGGCTGGCTGGCTGGCTGGGTCTCCGACGCTTTTGACTCGGCCTTCCCCGTCCTTTCCGGGCGAAAGTGAAGCGCCCGGCGGCGTGTAAACAAAAACAAGCGCACCGAATGAAAAAATAAATGAGAGCGCGCGCGCCTCTCCGGAGCCTCGGCAGCGCCCCGCGCGAAGCCAAGTCCCCGCATCCAGGGCCGGGGAAAGTTTTCCAAACTTCTCGGGGGCAAGGCCAGTTTTGACTCCTCGCTGGCCCCTCCCTCCGCCGCCGTCCAATGGCAGCGGGCTCGGGGTCTTGCTCGGCCAATGGGCGAGACGGAGGAAGGCGCCGTGAGGACACCGGGATTCCGGGGAGCACCCCGGGGTTAGGCGCGGGGCTGGGGGGAGGCCTCTGCGGGCCCCTCGGAGCTCCTACGGGGGAGAAAGAGGCGAAGGGCGGGCGAGAAGGCAACGCTGGTTCAATCCGTCCTTTGCGGGACGAGGGCGATCCTCCCCCCCCCCCTCTGCCCCAAAGTGTCACCCTTATTAAACCATCATCATCCTCGTTAACCGCCGTCAGGACCAACTTTCTTAATCGGGGATGGAATCTCAGCCGCTCAATGCGAGGGGCGAAACTTTTCTTAAAGAGAAAATAAAGGTCCGGGCCAGCCCGCTGGGTTTTCCCACGGGACACCGACCGTTCTTCGCGGGGAAACCCCGGTTCTGAAACGTGTGAGCGAGCGGCTAGGCCTCCCGTAAGGAACCCACATTCGCTCCGCGGAACTTGCTCAGTGGGGTGAAGAATTCCGAAGAAGCTTATTTAGCACTTCGGTACTAAACTCAATTAACACCTCCGTCCTAAATACCTGGAATTAAGGGATGGCGGCGGGGGCTCCTGCCGAGGAAGGATGGGTGGGAGTGGGGGGGCAAGGAATTTCGCGCAGAGGATTCGCGCCTGGAACGAAATGCGCTGCGTGGTTTTTCTTCCAAGAAGGCGACGAGGCTTAATCCTTGCACAGATAACGGGGGCGAAGATTATTTCATAAAATTGGCCTGCATCTCCTCCTCTTCGCCTTTTCCCCAACTTTCCTTTCCTCCCCCTCCCTCCACGGCCCCCTCCCCCTCTTGATTATTCCATTAGAGACCCTCAAGGGCCGGATAATTAACCCGGTGCGACTTTTGTGCCTTTCGCGAGTTGGCAAGATCTCCTTTCGTTTGGTTTGGCAAAAGGGGGAATCAGGGGTAGAGGAAAGCTACCGCTGAAAAAGCGTTTTACCACCTTTTGTTTTTTTTAAAGAGGGGGAGGTCAGGAGAAACTGGACCCGAATTTTTGGAGGTGACCCTATTCCAAAGTCTCCCCTATATATTTTCTTTGCAAACATTTTTTTAAAAGAACTTTTCCTGGCTTTTTAAGCAAATGAGGTTTGGTGAGGTGATGAAAGCGCTCGGAGGCGCGTTCCTAAGCTAGGAATATTGTACATTCTGATTGTGTGGATTTTCTGCACGGATTGTGGCCAGAATTGCAACATTTTTCAAAAGGGCGAAAGATGAAACGGAGGGGAGGCGAGGCCCGATTGTTTTCTGAGGGTTTCCCCAATTTTAGAAGCAGCGGTTTTAATCCACTAAGCGCATGCTTTTAAATGAAAACCAGTTTAAAAATGGTCTATATGCCTTTTAAAATGTTTTTATTTATAATAAAAGGAACGGCTTTTTTTATTCGGGTGTTCAGAGCGGTTTATATTTGGGGAAGCGAAGCTGGGAAACTGCAACGCTTCAGTAATGAAAGTTACAAAGGAAAAAAAACGCAGCTTCGGAAAAACTGACTTCTTTTGGGGAAGAACTCCGAGGAATATTGGTATTTTGAAATGCAGGGAACTGAGGGACAATTATTTAAACTAAAAGGAAGTTTGCTGAACTGATTGGAAAATCCCTTCCAAAAAAATAAAATAATTCTTTTTCGGGTTTTCTCACTTTTTTCCGGGGGGAGGGGGAAGGAGGGGCGAGGAGACCTCCTTATTTGAAAAGACAGAGCAAAGGGGTGAAAAAAGTTCAATAAATTAGTGGTGTTAAATTAAGTCAAGAAAATGTTATCTCTGTGATATTTTTAAAGCTCTTCTTTGTGTTCTACTTGATGATGATAAGGATTAATTCAACCTTTCAATGTCTAATTAAATATCGGTCGAAAACATGAATTGAAATAATCGGTCCGGTTTGGGAATTAAACTAGAAGGAACAGGCAGAAATGGTGGTGGTGGTGATGAGATATAGTTATGCGTTACTTTTTATCATAATACGTACTATAAAGAAAGACCTTATAGAATTTTCGAAGGACAACGTAACTTTTCTTCTCTTGGCGAATCAATGATCTTACTTGCTCTACCTACATTCCTGATGGCTAATTTACTGGAAAGGACATTTGTATTAAATTACCCCAAATAAAAGAAAGATATTTATTGCTTTCCCTTAAATTTCACGTTGAAAAAAAAAGCCCTTTGTCTTTTTAAATAAAATTTCTGCAGGCGCATGCATTCACCTAATTATTGATCCCAAATGACACCACCCTGTCTTGTAAATTAAAAATAAATAAATACGGGGAAATGGGGCCCTTTCGCCGCGCGAGCGAGTTTGCCTAAAGTCTTGGCGCAAACTTTCCCCTCCTTCGGGGATGAAAAACACGCCGCCTGGATCCACGGCATTTGGCATCTTTACGCACATCGCTTCCTTTCCATTCCCTGCCCTGTGAAATTGTTCCAAGAATGCAAAGACCTCAAAAGTGATGGGCGAGGACAACCGCGCCGCTTTGCCCCCAAAACACCCCCTCCCTCCCCTTAGAAATAGGTAAATGCAGCGTTAATACCGTCTGCGGAGCCGCCGCGATTGGTCAGCAATCGTCACTCCCTGGAGTGTACTGCCCTCTAGAGGTCAAAAGAATGAATTGTAACCTCTCTCTTTTCTTTTTTTTGAAAAAAAAAGTTTAGTCTCTTTGAAGACAGCGCCGCCTTGTGTATGGACTGTGATAGTACACATGCACACGCATGCCTTTGGGTATAATAATGATGTACAAATAAATACGGACGTGATTATCAGCAGTCTATTCCTACTTAGAGAACAGGGTTTCTCAAGCGTGGAGACTTTAAAATATGTGGACTCCCACCTACCCATTAGGTGACTGAAAAAAGATTCATGTAATAAACACGTGTGTGTGTGTGTGTGTGTGTGTGTGTGTGTGTGTGTGTGTGTGTGTGTGT